AAAAAACGTTTTTCTTTCTGTGATAAAAACTTAATCAAAATTCTGTTTTTTCATGTTGTTTACTTTAAAAGACAAAAAAAGACAAATTCATTTGATTTTCAGTGTTTTAAAACAATGATTGTTTTTAATTAGTCAAACACAATATTAAAACAGTTAAATACATTTGGCAGAATAACCACTTTTACACATCTTTTACAGAAGCAGCTGACACATCACTACAGCAGGTTTTTAAAAACTTTAAGCAATAAACTGGCTGCAAGTTTGACAAAATGTAAGTTTTAATCAAACTTGTGACACATTCTGTAAAAAAGTATGTTTAAAAAACACTTTTCAATGTACATTTATCAAAGAGTTGTCTCGTTGGGTGAATAAGAAACAACCTTAAATAAGATGGACTCTTAAAAATATATACTGTATATTTATTGGTTTAGTCTCATAAAGTTAAAAAGGTTCAAGTGCTTAAATATCTTTAATAATTTAAAGACAAGTCTACTGCAAACCATTTAAATAAGGCACCTTGGTGAACACATGGAGGCACTGCGGGGGTCTGCAGATTATTGGAAACAAGTTTGGTTTGGTCAGAAAAAAGTCAGACCCCCGACAAGTTAATTTGTCTGACCTCGAGGATTTTGTGCCATTTTCTTTTTAGTCCTTCAACAATACACAGGCAAGCATCAAAAACCTCACAGGGAGGAAAAAATACTCTTTTCTCTTCTGACTTTTTAAATATTTTGTAACATTTCTGTCTATTACAACCAATGTTTGATGAATCAATCCCATCAGTTCACTCTAGCTGCCAGTCCCCCCCCCACCCCCACATCCAACACTACAATGTCTTTTTCTGTAACAGCAAATATTTTGTCTCTGATTTGTCCAAATTCAAACAAAGATGTGGCATAACTTCCTACAAATCAGTAGAACAATTAGAAACAAACAAATAAAATAAAGTTCCTCATCTTAGTGAAATCCTGCAGCAGATTTAAAAGTAAATGTAAAAAATGAGTCAATGGAAATGTGCACAATAAAGAAAACTGACACACAAAAGGTTATTATTTAATTTAAAGACTTTTCTCTGCTGCCACAACCTTTTGAAGCATTTTAGTGCAAACTGTACTAATAAGGAAGTTTTCTGTGTGATATAAAGTTTTTTTAGGGGAAAATTTCTGCAACGTTAAATAAATAAAATGAAATTTACACTAAAGTTAGTTATTCTCCTCCAGCGTTTGTCGTCTCAGCTCAGCCGTCTACATTTCAGATGGTGCAGCGCACGTCTAATGGTTAGTTCGGCACTTTATAAGAAAAAAGGAGCAGCAATCCCACAATCCACCATTTCTGAGAAATCACAGCAAGCTGAACCTTTCAGGTCAGCTTTAGAGAGAAAGCAGCTAAAACACGGCGCCYTTCCATCACAGTTTGGTTTGACTCGCACAGAACTGAGTTTGTTTTACAAGAACAAACAAGCTTTTTGAAACAGCAACAACCAAATACACAATTTGAACCCTAATCTATTATTACTTCTGYATTAGTCTTATGAAATTTGTGATTTATGTTGTAAAATCTGGACCTTTAAATCTGCCCGAGTCACACCATGTGATGAAAAAGTGCTAACGGAGACAAAAAAATACCATAAAAATTTGCAGCAATGTACAGTATGAGCCCAACACTGCGCTCGTCTTCACATTAAAGCCTGTTCCCCAAAAATGACACGATCAACTCCTTTAAAGKTTTTTTTCTTCGAAATATTAAATATTTTTCTAAAACTGTAACAGAAAGAAAGTGACATAAAACTGTTACTCTCTTACATGTAAAAACCAGAGGACAGAGTGGAACCAGTCACATATAAATACTATATTCTTCTGGGTTATGTACTTACTCAATATAAAACTTAGGACAGTTTTCAATTATATTCAGCCGTGAAAAAGTCAAATTAAAATGGAGAAGTAGTGTGTACAGATGGACTCATTTTCCTCTAAAACCCACATCATYAGCCCTCCACCACCGTGCTGAACAGCTGCTGGGAGTTAGTTTGTGCTGATATTTCAGTGTGTTACTGCCAAACATTTATACTTCTGTCTTGTTWAAAAGTTTGGTTTTAAAGCCACATCTTAGAGGATGTTTTTCACATTTCAGTAGCTCCACACACCAAACTGAGCTTTTTGAACAAAGGTAAATCTGTTTGAGGCTTTTTGGTCCTCATTTGGATGTGTGTYGTTTTGACTAACACTTGTAAACAAGCAAAATGAACTGTCTTGAGTTCTTTGGTGCCTAATTGTTCAAAGTCTTCTCAGGTTGACGTGCTACAACACTGGCTGATGTCTGAACAACAAACAGCCGAAGGCTCCGGAGCAGCAGTAGGAGTGTGCTTGTTCTTTGACGTGTAGCGTCTGCTTTTTAGTTTGGTTTTKGCTCAATGAAAAATGTCCCAGCTTCACGTATTGATCCAGATGTTTCCACCTGGTTTTGAGACCTGCACTGCAAAAAAACTGTCCATCTTACCAAGTTTTAAAATCTTATATCCAGCCAAAAAATCTTTTTGATCTTGTTTTGATACTGATTTACTA